GAAAGGAATTTGTCAGACTTTGGGGAAACCTTATAAAAATGAAACAGGTTTTACATCTTTGGGATCACCTTTTAATCAAAGGAGCAAAGGAAAACTGTTCTCTATTGTGCCCCTACACCGGAGGCCTTCTGCATGTGACTTTCAAAGGTTTCATCCTGGTTTGGACGCTGCTTGTGTTGAATATCAGCTATTAAATCTCCAGCATACAGGAAAATCTGAGATTTTTCTCCTTCTCCACCCCATTTTTTCTGTTTTTGTTCCATGTAAACAGTTCCTGCCGTAGTAACATAGACAAATATAGCAGAGAATGATTTTCTGGAAGAAGAATGCTCCCTAAGCATTTTTTAACCATTTTTGGGAAGAATTGATCTTTCTCTGTGTTTCAGACAGACTTCAAGAGGGGAAGGCCGCTGCTGTAATTGAAGTTACATCATATGTATTGCCCCGATTGATCCGTTCTTAGTCTCTGGCCAGGGCAGCAGGAAATGGCATCAGGGAGGAAGCATACTTCGTTTAGGCACAGATCCCAGAGTCACGCCCCTGTCAGCCGTGGCTGCATTAGTCCCAGGCTCATTCCCGTCTGGGGAGCTGCGCAGTGACTTCCTTCGTGTGCAGCTGCAGTGGGCCAGCCAGGCCACACCATCAGAAGGGTGCAGGCATGGAGCTCGGATGTTCACCCGCACGGTCTCTTGTCACAGGGTCTGCCTGCAGAAAGTCGGTTGTGAGACATGTCCGTGGCATTTTTTGATCCAGGCGGGTGAGTTGGCCTTTTCTGCAACATGCTGATGGAAGAAACAATGGAGGGCCTCAGTTGCGTGGGTGGTCTCCTGGGAGCTCCAAATGAGTGATGCCCCCATGACAGCAGTAAGAGGCTTCTGGAAGAGTCAGGGTTTGTTTTCTTTGTGCTGGTTGTAGGTTAGGAGGGTGGGTTTGGAAAATTCATAATTTCTTTCCAAGGGCCTGTAGAGAAAGTCTTTAAAATTGTCCAGCATGTGCAGCTTGCCTCAACTTCTAAGTTGGTTGGGAAAAATACAAAATAGACTCTTTTTTTGGTACATTTCTCAGTAATTAGCAACTAAGAAATCTTCCATGTTTAGAGTAAGAATATAGACTTCTGAAATCCTTAACAAATAGCGTTTGTACTTGACTGACTTCCTCTAGTATTTTTTTATTTTTGTATTCATTTGAGTAAGTTTTATAGTCCTGTGAAGTTCTTTCTTGCAAGTACCCACACGACTTTGGCACCCCATAGTCTTATTTTGTATAAGTTTCCGAGGCAGATGCATTTTTAAAATACTGAGTTTGTCTCCATATGGAAAAAATAATAACCCCGTTATGAATTCCTTGTTTGTGCAAAGGAAAGGACTTTCTCTTCCTGTCACTGTTGAACTGTGGGTGTGAGCACTATTAGACCCCCAGAAATAAGGGCAGGTTCTCTTTATAATGTTTAAGAGATCTGCTTTCTTAGTAGATAATGCTCAGCAACATGCGCTTTATTTCTCCTGATCACTCCGTAGAAGGACTACAGCCATATCTGTCTCCTGCAGTACTGCTGTATTAAAACACAGTTGGCCTGGAAGTCATGGAAATTTAATTTGATTTCTGCGTGGGTGGGAGTAGAATGAGCCACACAACAGTCCCTGTTGCCCCTGTGCCAGCTGCCTGGGCAGGTCTCATTGCCAGCGCTGCCTCTGAGCACATTTGCTAGTATATGGTGTCTTTCAGTTGCTTTACAAGCATTTTGGCTTATTACATATTATTTCTTTTTCATTGTAGGGTGGCTTTACAGAGAGCAAATGTTTATTTTACAAAGAGAAATGTATATTAAAGTGTAGCTACTTAGCACATTTTTGTTTTCATATCCTCTTTGTAAGGTCTGTTACCTCATTTTTTAAAAATGATTTAATGTTTACTTATTTGTTAATGAAAGGTGCTTAATTAGTTTTATTGTCTGCATCCCAAAACAGCATTTCTTCACTGATTTTCTCTACTATTTTTGAAACTACATCTCCCCCCATGAATTAGAAGAATTACAGTAGAAAGCCAGATGGCTACAGGTTGTTTACTAGGTGATGGTCCTTTCTCCAAGTCCATTCTACAGTGTGAGGCTAGCAGGGGTCTCCCAGCGTTACACAGGAGGGTTTCAGCATGGCAGTGTGGGCCTTGTGATTGCCCGACTCTGAACATGCTGGCACTTGCAGCCGCCTGCCGAGGTGCCTTCTTGAAGGAAGAGCAGTTCCCTGGAGGGGAGTTACCTCTCTCCAGTTGGAGTCAATTAAACTTATTAAAGAGTCCTAAAGGTTTGACTGCATATATACCCCCTCACTTCCATTTCAGCTGCCTGTCTTAAGTCAGGGGGCTTAGCTTTAAATATTCCCGTTGTGTGAAATTTGGAGAGGACTAAAGCTTTTCAGGGGTCCTTTCAGTTGTTTCTGTGTGCAGATGTGTGAACTTTCTGCGTAGAAGAGAGGGACACGGGTATGAATCCAGCTAGTTTGACAGTTTCATGTATTGGTAATTTTTCGGTTTTAAGTTGGTGTTGTTTATTGGTTAAACCCAGTTGGAGTAAGTTGAGGCCAAGCTAGTTGTCTTACCTCAGGTGTTTCTTTCTTCTGTTGGTCTCTTTAGTTTAAACCAAGTCCCAAAGGAGAGTTCTAACAACAGGCTTCTTTGTATGCGTGAGCACATAGTAGGGTGATGCTTTTTTCTTCTCTCTCCTTCCCTGTAATTCTGTGAGTTGGCAGGGCTGGTTCCTATGTGTTTAGTTAGCAGATGAAGACCCCATCCCAGAGGTGAGTGTTCTTTGCCAGATCAAGCACTGTTCGTGCTGAGAAGCGCTGCTCTGTCGGCCGGGCCCTCTCCTGGAGGCCTGCCGTCCTATGTCTGGAGGGGACCCAACACTGGCCTTTTGCTGCCCTCAGGCTGGCTGCCTTCAGATGTGCTGCTCACCAGTTTACAGTGCTGTGGGGATGCAGGGCAGGCTGGGGGTGGGGGAGGAGGGCCTGGGGGCTGAGATTGAGGAGCTGGAGTCACGATGGGCGGGGCCAACAAGAAAGGTGGAGAACAGAGTCTCAGCTGGGCTGCCTTGTCAGGCGTGCCATGAGGCTGGACACCCCGGGCTCCCCTCCACTGGTGCAGGGGAGGAGGCTCACCGGAGACTGGGGTTCTGGGTTTGGCCTCTTCTGTGAAATAGCACATTCCTTTTTAATGTCATAAAGGTAGCCTTATATGTGTAAAACTATAGAATATGGTTAGATTGGTGGTTTGTTGCTAGTTAGGTGTGTAGTAATTTGATATATTTAAAATGTCTTACAGGTTTAAGACTTCTCATGAAAGGAAATTAAGTGTTAGGAGTTCTTTGAGTCTTTGTATGGGACTTTGCAGGTCATTGCTAATTGTAATGTAATGTTGCTAAAGGCATCTTGTTTTTCCTGTCAGCCTGAGAGAATATCCACAGCATGACTTTCAGAGGGAGTGGTCTTATGAAATACATGTACCCAAGAACCAAGTGATCTGCGTCTGCCTCTGTCGTCTACCTACCTGCCTGCCTGTCTGTGGGGAAGTGGGGGGTTTCATTAGAACTTAGAAGGGTGAGATGAAAACATGTAAAAAGTGCCTTCTTTGTGAAATTACTTGGTGAGAGTTGTGCATATGGTCTACTGAGTCCCTGCATGTGCATTTTGGAAAAACGTGTGTGTGTGTGTGTGTGTGTCTGTGAATGAGTGAGAGGCGGGGGAGGGAGGGTCAGGCAGAGCACACACTTGGGGGTAGAAAGGTGAAAAGAGGTAGGAGAGAAGCCAGTAACTTTTACGTTTTCTTTTAGAGTAACAGAAAGCAACAGTTAAAATCCAGGTGTTCTTATGAATATTCCGTTGACCTAGTATTGATTTCCAGACCTGTAAATTTTGGTTAGTTGACAGGGATTATCTGGGCATAAGCAGGGATGGGGAAAAGCTGAGTGTAGAAAGCAGTGAGATTAACTTACAGTAATAATTTTAAAACCTGGAGTGTAGGATATATATATATCCTACAAGGTAAGCCTGCAGTTGGCAGGTCCTCCAGCATGCTGCTGTGTCCGTCCAGCAGTGCCACGCTGTGCTCACCTGGCTCTGATGTGCAAGGGTGACTAAGACAGACGAAGTCTTACACACTCGTCCATTCTTGGATTTCACAGATATTGTTTGTTCACAAATTAGTTTTATTTTTGTGCCACATAAAGACTTCCTCTTGCCTTTGCCCTTAACTGGTAGCATCACCTTCACCTATCCTGTGTGAAAACTCAGGAGTATGGGTGACGTTGTATGTGTGAGTATGTGCATACCTATATGTGTAATCATGTGTACAACCTTCTTAAAATTTTTACTAGGTTATAAACTTATCAATTACAAATATGTAATTTTTATAATGGAGGGATTATGAGACATGTTTCTTGTTTTATTACATGCTCTTTATTTCTTGGTGTGCAGTGAACATACTGTGGTGCTTCAAAAAGTTCATGGAAAGATTAATATCTTGTAATCTCTTTTTTCACAAACTTTTTGAAGTACCCTTTCATATTTTCAGGGGTCGTATGGTAAAAAAGGAAATCTGAAAGCTGCTTATTTTCATTAAACTTCTGCATCTTCTGTGTGTTTGCTTAAAGTTGGATGGCTCCTTGAATCTTTGTGTAGGCTATAGGACATTTTTTGGCATATGCTTGCCATAAAGGAAGGGATCTAGTGAACCATGATAATATTTTATTAAGGTAAGTACAGTTTTGATTTGCTTTAACTATAGAACTGAAATGAAAAACCATGGAAAGCAAGGTTTGTGTCTTTGGGGGTCCACACAATGTAAACCCTGAGGTTTTATAAAAGTCAGCTCTTTAGTCTTCCCATGTTTCAGACGTATGCTGAAGGTACCCAGGTTATGCTGTATTTGCTGTTTTTGGTCTAAGCATTTGGATTTAATTTCTCATCAGTTGAATGGCATTTTCTCAGGCTGTTTGGTTTCTCTCTCAGCTTTTTCCAGACCAGCTGGTCCTGCTTTTGGAATATCTCTTGGAGCAAAAGACCTTGAAACCCCGAACTCTGCAAAGCCTCCAGCGGACGTACCGCCTCGACAATCAGGATGCAGAGGTAACCAGGAACGCCCTTGGAGTTTAAACGTCAGGTCCCCACAGTGGATGAAAAATGATGATCTCAGTGTAGCCCCACACTACTGAAGCTGCCGTTTCCATCAGCAGCATCCCGTGGGTTTGCTTTGTGCGTGAAGAACAAGTGCTTTGAGCACAGCGTAAACGGCCCTCCTGGTTGTGCTTGCTCCAGCAGGGCCTCTGACAGTGCTTGTACTTATAGGCAGAGTATTTTGAAGCCTTAAGTTTTCCTGTCTTACTTCTTAATTCGTAAAGATGGACAGAGGTCTCCTAAACCCTGAGCAGGCAGGGTGGAGTGTTTTTGAGTCATAACCTTGGGTGGGTCACCGTGTGCACTGACGGTGGCGCCATCCTGCTGCACATTAAGGAAACTTGGCTCAGATGCATCAGAGCTTCTCGGTTGCCTTCAGTGGGGATGGGAAAGGAGCCATGGGTAAAGGAAATGAAAACTAAATCTAGCAGCCGGGGTTTGAAAAGTAAAATTGGATGCTTGTGGGAAAGCAATATGATGTGGGCCTTAATATCTTTTAGCTTATTGTGAAGAATACAATGTGAATCCTAAGATGAATTCCAGGTTTTTAAATATAAAATAATAAATATTTAATGTATTTAGTCATCTTCAGTAAAAAACAAGGGCTCAGTCAAAGAGAAAAGCCCTTTTATATAAAACTGCTAAAATGCAGAAAATGCAGGTAAGTTTGGTTTGTATACAGTTGAGAATAACTGAACTTTTTTTTTTTTTTTTGTCTTTTTGTCTTTTTTTCGTGACCGGCAACGGATTGCAACCCTCAGTGTCGCACCCGTACCGGACCGGGACCGGCAACGGGATCGCAACCCTCGGGTGTTGC